TCTTCCGCAAGGGTCCCACGGAACAGTTTGGACCGTTTCTGAGACTCATCTCACCAAAGGCGGGTGTGCTCAGTTCCGGAGATCATTACTTTGTACTCGGAGCCCTTACAAACTCATCCACGGTGAATATGTTCCACCCAAAACTGCACATCAATCTTTCCTTTCAGTACGAGGAAAAGAGCGGGGAGTTGGTTTTCTTTCCAGCACCCCCGGCCGAAGCTTGATGCACGACTGGCCTCAAGAAGTTTCGGGACAACAACGATGCCACGTGGCAGGGTTCCAGATGGGGCTGAATTGGTTACAGGGCGGAGTTTTTTACGGTAGTGCTTTTCACAGTAGCGGACTGCCCACCCGGGATTCCAATAATCAACTGCTTTCTCATCTGGTCGAGCGAATTGACCAAAATGCCTACGGGCCAAGGTTTATAGGCGGTGATTTTAACCATTTCTTGGATGAGCTGCCTGCAGTGCAAACACTGCTACACCATGGTTGGGAGGAAGCTCAAAGCATAGCAAAACGCCGATTCGGTCAGGCCATTCAACCCACCATCCAACAGAAACATACCAAGGACCTGCTTCTCTTGAGTCCTGAATTGGTTCCTTTGGTCACAGAAGTTCATGTTGAACATGATTGGGTTGCCAACCATGCGATTGTTTACGTAGTACTGCGCCCTGATGCCCAGTCCATTAAGGTGCCCATTTGGAAGAAGCCACGCAGGGTTGATTGGGAGCTCCATAGTGATAGGCATACGGCGGATAACCAAGCCCTTGAAGCACCCCAAGAAACAACTTGGGAAACAGATGACACCGGTTCGGCGGATGATAGATACCAAGCAATTTGGCATTCATTTGAGTCCCAAATGGTGGAATGTGCCCGACAGCATGGTCGCAACATCCACAATTCACAAACCGGGCGAGGGGCAACCAGGAACAGGTCCTGGATCACAGAGCAATATGTGCCGCTCCGACCGTCTCGACCAGGGAGTTTCACCCCGACATTCCATGGGCAAAGTGTAGCACACACTCATTGGGTGCGTCAGTTGAGGCGATTACAAGCTTTAGCCCAAATGCATCATGCACGCCATGTCCGCAATGCACAATGGCAAGAACGCAAACTAGGTCAATGGAGAGCCATCAAGAAAGCCGTTGGCTTTAAGCCGTCCTTTGAGCAATGGTGGGCTTCTAAAGCCAAACACGTCCTCGGCCTGCCACAGAGCTTGCCACTTCTCCCGCCAGATGGAGAGATAGCGCGCCTGCTTGCAATAGACTTTCAGAAAGATGTTCTTGACCTTGAGACCCTGCTTAAAGCAGCTCGTATCAAACAGGCCAAGCAATGCCGACTTGATGATCCAAGCCGCATTTTCCGGGACTTGCAGGCCCCGCATTCGGAACCAGTTCATATGTTGCTCGCACACACAGTAGCCACGGTCGAGGCCGTCGACCATGAGGAGTGTGCTCTCGTTCTTGATTCAGCTAATGCTTTTCATCCGGAGCAACCCATTGAATATAATGGTAAACCACTCCCGCTAGTCCACAATGACACTGATAAACTGTGGCTCGAACACATGCCCCCGGTGCAAGCTGGAGATTCGGTGACCCAGACACAGCCGTTAACTGATCTTGCACAAATCTATGAAGCATTCCAGTCCGAATGGATGGCTCGCTGGGACCGTCATGCCAAGACAGATGACAGTAAATGGGAGCCCATAATTGACTTCGTGCGGATCGCCATCCCTAATCCGCCGACAATGCAATATCATCCCATTTCGCATGCCACTTGGCAGCAGGCAGTTAGCAAGAAAAAGACAAGAGCGGCCATTGGGCCCGATGGGGTTGCCAAGGAAGATTTGGTGGCGCTGCCATGGAACCATGTTGAGCCCATTCTCCGCCTCCTCGAAGACATCGAACAAGGCCGATCCCTTTGGCCACAACAGATTGTCACCGGTCACATACATGCCTTGGAAAAGCTTCCAGGAGCTTGGAAGGCCAGTCAATATCGGCCCCTAACAGTTTTCTCGTTAGTTTACCGTACTTGGTCTTCGATCCGAGCTCGGGAAACCCTGGCTTACCTCGGCCAGTTCGTTCCAGAACAGGTGACAGGCAATATTCCAGGCAAATCGTGCACCGACCTCTGGCTCAGCATACAGTTGCTCCTTGAGGATTCGACAGCAGCCCAAGTGCCGGTCACTGGAGTCGTGGCTGATCTTGTCAAAGCCTACAACCTCCTCCCGAGGTTGCCATTGCTGGCCATCGGAGTTCACTTAGGATTGCCCAAACCCATCGTCCGAGCCTGGGCCAACGCTCTGAAGCAGATGGCCCGTTCGTTCAGCATCCGAGGCACCATAGGCCCCCCGCTGCAGTCTTCCACTGGCTTTGCGGAAGGCTGCGGACTGAGCTGCAGTGCCATGCTGCTTTGTAACATAGCCTTGTCCCGCTGGATCCAGATTCGATACCCACCGGTCCGATTGTGGTCGTATGTCGATAATCTTGAAATAACAGCCGGGAATATGGCAGATGCTCGGATCGGCCTAGGCTACATGACCCAATTCTGTGAACTCTTGGACCTCCAGCTTGATAGTGGTAAGACATACTTTTGGTCCAATGACGCAGCCGAACGGAAGCAGGCCCGGCTCGCCGAACAGCCGTTGGAATCCTCTGCACGGGATCTCGGGGCCCATATGGAGTACGGACGCCGTAACACCAATCATGTGCTGCGGGGACGCCTCCAAGCCATGCCACGCATTTGGGATGCACTTGCCAGGTCCCTTGCACCGTATAGGCAGAAAGTTCATGCACTCCGGGCCAAAGGATGGCCACAAGCACTGTCCATGGGCACCTCCGCTAGCTTGGGGGATGTGCACCTTCGTAGCCTACGCACGGGCGCATGCAAAGGGTTAAGAGTCCATGCACCGGGGATGAGTCCTATGATCCAACTTTCTCTGGTAGAGCATCCGTTGACAGACCCCGGCTGCCACCTTTTGGTACAAACAGTCCAAGTTTTTCGTCGACATGCCAACTCCGATCAGGTTAGTGGCTTGATTGAACAAGTCCTCCGAGATTGGACAGAACTCCCGCCCCGCCCTGGTCCGAGCCACGTCCTTTTAGAAAGACTAAATGCCATTGGCTGGCGTTGGCTGTCCGACGGTTGGGTCCTAGACCATGAGGCCTTCCCCGTAGACCTTTTGCATGGTAGCCAATCCGAAGTACACCACCGACTTCTGGAAGGGTGGCAAAGTTTCGTCCAAGGCTGCGTAAGCAAGCGTAAAACATTCCAAGGCATGGAGTGGATCAATGCGGCACTCACCCTGGAGCACACGTCCAAGTTAGCCCCCAGCCAGTTGGGACTCCTCCGAAAGATCTTCAACGGGACTTTCTTTACGGCTGATACCCAAACACACAACAAAAAGGCCCACACCATCACCTGCAAATACTGTGGGCACCCGGACTCCCAATTCCACCGGTTTTGGGAATGCAGCCATTTTGATCGTTCGCGTCCCTTCCCATGGCTCACGCAGAAGATCTTGGAAGGCGGACTCCCTAAGTGCCTCACATACCATGGATGGATTGGATTACCCCAATCAGTTCGGGATTTGCAGCGCCTTCTGTGCACACAGCCTGCCCTTACTAGCCAGTTTGAAGCACCTCCGTTTAGGGCAATTGACCTCTTCATCGATGGTTCTTGCGTCAACCCAACCTGCCAGTTCACTCGATTAGCAGGCTGGAGTGTCATCGCAGCCGACCCGTCTGATGTTGATCGATGGTGGCCAATAGCACAAGGGCTTGTTTCTGGCAGACGCCAGACTAGTGGAAGGGCAGAAATTTCAGCAGCCATTAGTGCTGTGAGATACACACTCACTCAAGATCGCCCCATGCGCATTTGGTGCGACAATGCACAAGTAGTTGGTTTCCTCCAGACCGCACTCAGGAACCCAGGCACCAGCAAAATATACAGCAAAGATCAGGATTTGTGGTCTGAGCTGCTCTCAGTCGCCCGGACAGTCCCGGCTTCCACGATACAGATAATTAAGATCACTAGCCACCAAAATCGCTTGAATGCCACTTGGATTGATCTTTGGGCCTACACAGGCAACGATCATGCCGACCATGGAGCTCAGTGGAGTATCATTGACACTGGGCCAGTGCGATCCACATGGCTGAAAGCAGTTGAGGACCTCGACGCAGCCCGGGTCCTCCGAGACCAAATCCATGCCACCATGCTGCGAGTTAGCGAGGATGCTGTCACCAGGGATGTACCGGCGCCCGCCGATGACCCCCCACAGACAGCATACCCGCTCCCTGTGCAAGAGCCGACTTTGCCCATTCTTCCCCTTAGGCCTCAGACAGTTACACATAAGCTAGTAGGCCCAGGCTGGGATTGCATTTCAGGGTGGTCACGTTCACTGCAAACACAGACCGCGCCAATGGTCCACATCCCCTGGCTCTACCTCCTGATAGACTTTGTTCTCAGCACTGGGGACGGGGGCGTTCGACCCTTCCGCAATTTCAGCTCTTGGCAGTGGCTGACTCGAGAAGATGCGAAAGAGTTTGATTTGCAGGACCGGATTAAGTGGTTCAGACTTTTTCTCATTCGTATTCACAAGCTTGAAGGATGCCCCTTGTCCACGAACTACCTTAGGCCCACTTCGCGCACCACGTTGTTTTGGGCTCACTGCGTAACTTGTCGGATGGAGGAAGGCCGTTTCAAGCAGGTGGAAAGCTTCATTCACCAGTTCAAAGCGTCCCTCCAGTGTGGCGCTGACCTCGGTTCGATCGCTCTGTAGTGATTTTCCCTGGACAAGACGTCCCCCGCGAAAGCTGCGGCGTCGAGACCTCTCGGAAAAGCGGAAAAGTGGAGGCCATCGCTAGTAGGTTGGTTGGGGGCCATCGCTATTAGGTTGGAGGCCATCCCTAGTAATAGTAGGTTGGAGGCCGTCGTTATTTAACGATTTTCCTTCATTTTTGAATATCTCTAATATTTCCAGAAACTTTTGCAAGTCAGGCCTCGAGGACCATCAGGCGCCACGGTGGTTGGTACCACTACCTCAACCCGTAATGGTCGACGGACATGACGAGGCCTGTGGCAAGTGGTAAGACCCAAGGGGAAAATGACAGGTCTCTAAAAGGATCTAAAATAAAGGAAACAACATGAAACAAGAACCTCGAACATGTAAGAAAAACGAAAAACATCAAACAGAAAAGTACAGTTAAACATAACCACTTTCTTGCTTCCACTCAGCGAACGAATCCTGCCCGAGGTCTGCACGGAACCCCATTTGTCGAACTCCGACTGTGTGCGAACCTGCAACGGAGTGGCGAATGAGAACACCGCAAATGCAGTGGCTCCAACACAACAGCTAGGTTGGAGGCCATTGCTTGGAACGGTTGCAGGCCATCGTTCGTAGGTTGGAGGGCATCGCTAGAAGCTTGGAGGCCATCGTTGGTAGGTCGGAGGCGGTTGGAGGCCATCGCTATAGTAGGTTGGAGGCCATCCCAGTAGGTTGGAGGCCATCGCTCGTAGGTTGGAGGTCATCGCTAGTAGGTTGGAGGTCATCGCTAGTAGGTTGGAGGCCGTCGCTAGTAGGTTGGAGGCCATCATTCGTAGGTTGGAGGCAATCCCTAGTAGGTTGGAGGCCATTCCTAGTAGGTTGGAGGCCATCCCTAGTAGGTTTGAGGCCATCGCTAGTAAGTTGGAGGCCGCCGCTAGT